TGAATTGAAAATATTACATTTTTGTAATATTTTATCAATTAAAAAATACATATCTTAAAATAAGCATGGTTCCTCCAGATTCACATTACCTTACACTTGAGTTTAGTACTAGACAAAGCGATAGGTTAGATCTACGGATACAGGCCAATATATTACATTAAAACCAATGGAATTTTAAAAAAGATACTATATGTGTTTTTGGTCACAGATTTACACGGATTTAGTGCTATTTCTTCCTTTCTGATCCTTTCCATTAATTCTAGATTTTTTTGCCTTGCCTTTCCATTGAAATAAATTTCAGATTAAGGAAAAAATGAAACAGTTCCTTTGCTATGAAAAACTGCACCCCATCTCTCTCTCTCTCTCTCTCTCTCTCTCTCACAGACCACACATACACACACACACACACATACACAATACACATCCACACACATACATATATACATACACACATACACATATACATATATACATACACACACACACACATACACATAAATACAGTATATATAATCTTTTTCTTTTTTTTTTAATAGATATCTTTATGAGGTGGCCAGAAGATATCCTAAAGCGTTAATTGCCTTACTCTCTCATACAATTAAAACCTATGATAAAGTATTTCCAACTTGTTGTGAAGCAGATAATAATGATGCCTGTTTCTGGGAAAAGGTATTTCACTATGCATCTTGAAACTTTGTAGAAATAAGTTGCAGCACCAACCTCTTCAGGACTCATCAGAATCTGTTTTATATCAAGTGAGACCACTGTAACTCTAGTAATTCTTTCCAAATATATAAGTTATGTAATTCAGGTATCAGTATTATATCAAACATGATATCAGTGTTGTAGAAGTGATATTATTCTTGTTGTTGGTTGCATAGTGAGCCAGATGTTTAGATTGGATTTGGGATTTTTATCCACCTCTCAAGACCTGGGATAGGCAGATGTTGTTTGAAGGTGTTCAAGGTATCATCACAGGATATCAGCTGTTCCAAGTAAAGCTGCCTTTTCCAATTGACTAATGATGGTGTTCAAGTGGTACTCCAGATGTTTTGGGATTGCACCCAATGTGCCAGTAAATATTGGTACTATCTTTGCTTTCTTTTGCCATAGTCGTCCTACTT